GTGTGTGTGTGTGTGTGTGTGTGTGTGTGTGTGTGTGTGTGGCCATGGTCACAAACACAGATTCACTCAGCTACCATGAGAACTCCTGAGCGCTCATCCTGTTGTGATTTATTCATCACAGGAGGAAGATCTTCAAGAGATCACTGCAAAGATTTCATCGAAGCGCACAGAATACGAGGAAGCAAAGAGCCAGCTGGCCCAACTCAAGGCCGACTACGAACAGGCAGAGCAGGAGTACAAGCAGCATAAAGACTCCATCAACACCATCGCTGAGGAGGCTGATTCAGTCAAGGTAATACAGAGACTTTAGTAAAAACTTCTGAATCCCTGAATATCTGAATGTTCTGTTGGTGGCAGTTTTTATAAAAACACAAACTACAGATCTGATGGTGATGATTGCATATTGGTATTTTTGTCTGTCATTGTTTAGTGTTTTTTTTTCTCCCCGGCTCCTCCCTTCGGCTGAGGTTGCCACAGCGAGCAGCCAAAAGATTACACATCCCACGGCTTCAGTTCCAGATTTAGGACTTAGTTTGAGACTTAGAAATTAAAAACGATATTCAGTCTTTCTTTGAGCATAACATCCTAAAAATTGTGTAACTTTTTTACAAACTTGAACATGTGTGGTTTTTTTTTTTTTTTTTTTTGGCGGCTCTGTCCTCCTGCAGGATGAACTGGGTAAAAGTGACCAGGAGGTGACGAGGTGCAGACACCACAAGAAATACTACGATGAGAAACGCAGCGCTCATCTCCGCAACATCCAAACACTTGAAGGACAACTGAACAGCAAAGACGACGACCTAAAGGTTTGTCAGAACTTCACTTAATGATTTGTTTAAAACCGTTTCACTGGGGTGGGGGTCGTTTGATGGTTTTGGTTGACAAAAAAAATCATTTTTGTTCTTATTTCCAGATTAAAATAGAATATTTTAGAATTTGAAATAGTTTACATTCAGTTTGATGTGCCAATAATCAGAATCAGTTTATTTATTTAGTTGACTTTGTGCAGCAAGATTGTAGAAAATRCATATAAACTGATAGGAAGACTTTAAAGTGGGGATATTAAGCAAAATCAACTATTTTTTTTAGCTTTATATCATGTTATGTCATTCCCTCATCAAACACATACCCAGAGTGTTGCTTTGACTCATTCATGCATGTTTGAGAAACCCTTGAATCTCCTGTTGCAGACATGTGGAGCTGCCTAAACACTTACAGGTACAAAGCCCCGCCTGTTTACCCAAAGCTTCTGCCTGGAGCTCAGTCCGCAGCCAGGGCTCCACTAGACTAGCTGCAGCAACAATTGGCAAACAGCTGGTGGAACTGCACATCTGTTGAGCTTGTTATACTATTTCTCAGTCCAGTCTTTTTTGCGTTAAAAATGCGTTCATTAAGGAAATGTGTTTTTGGATGACAGGGAAACTACCCTCTTACAACACTCCCATTAAAGGTTATAAACCACATGAAGCATTCTTGTAAAAATGTGCTGAATAGGGATTGTCAGAAATGGTAGGAGGTTCTTAAAGAGACAGAAGCCAATTATAAGTCAAATTTATTTTTGTTATATACAGCATGTTTATAACAACTGAAGGTCTTTCCATTAAAAATAGCATTTTGTTCTAGCCTCTCATTTCATCAGTTCTCATTGCAAACAAATATTACGGCCACAACAAATAGTCTGTATTGGTTTTGCTTTACATGACAGCAGGCAAGGGCTTTAGTGTGACTGAATAATGTAAAGCGTCTTTAAGTGTCCTAAAAAAGTGCTATGTAAAACTGAATTATTATTATTATTATTATTATTATTATTATTTTGTTGTTGTTATTATTATTTTCATTTCAGAGGTAACGTTCTTTTACCCCTCAGGTGTCTGTGGCTAAAGCCACTCAGATTTGTCCAGAACGCATTGAAGCTCGTCGAACAGCCAAGAGTTTGGACAGTGAGATTAGCCGCCTCAAAGTGAAGATCTCTACTCAACAGGAAGAACAGGGGGATCGAGAGGAGGTTGTGAGGTTTGTGTGATGACTTTTTTTCCCCCTTCTCCACAGATGCTACCTGCAAGTGTATTCATGTGCATGTCCTGATGCATCTCAGTAACCCAGGTAGAAAAAATCAAAAAGAAAAAATAAGTAGGTCCTCTGGATGGGTTCTTCTTTGACCTGAAACTCTCAGACTGAAGAAGACTCTTGAATTAGAGACGAAAGGTTTCACTAAAGAAGAACCCATCCAGAGAACCTACTTATTTTTTCTTTTTGATATTCATGTGCATGTTTTTCCTCGGTTTCTTTTTCTTTTTTCACCCGTCACTTCCTTACATCCAGACAATACCGTGAGGCGTTGGAAAGCTACAAGAATATGTCACAGCAAATGAAGAACCTTAACTGTTTCATCAAAAGGCTGGACAGCGTCGTGACCCACAGAATTCAGGTTTACAGTGATCTCCGCAAGTAAGTGTTGGTTTCTTTTTTTGTTTTTTCAAAACATCTCGTGTTGCACCGGACACTTTTGTTTTAGAAGTGCTTTTTCTTCTGTTTGTCCTCGTAGGTTCATGTCCGCTCGCTGCAAATATTACTTTGACAACATGCTRGCTCAGAGAGGCTACAGTGGGAAAATGATGTTTGACCACAAGAATGAGACTCTGACCATCTCAGTAAGAATAATTGATTAATTCAGTTCAGCTCCAATTTTTTATTTAAAATGTACAAAGAAATCGTAGCTATTGAAAATGTGTTTTTTTTCCAGCATTGCCTTTAAAAGAATGTAATTAACATTTAGCCCCCAYACTCACAAGTGATATTTACAACCTAATATTATTTTTTGTGTTTTACTTGTGTTTTAGGTGCAGCCAGGTGAAGGGAACAAAGCTGACCTGAGCGACATGCGCTCCCTGTCAGGAGGCGAGCGTTCCTTCTCCACAGTTTGTTTTGTTCTCTCTCTCTGGGCCATCACAGAAGCACCTTTCCGCTGTCTGGACGAGTTTGATGTTTACATGGTAACACGCCACACTGCAGTCTGACGTATTCATCTTTGGAGAGTAGGGCTGTGTATTGGCAAGAATTTGGCGATATGATACATATCATGACAGAGGGGTCACGATACGATATATCCCGATATATATTGCGATTTTTTTTGTCCAAAAATTCTATTAAATAAAAAACTTTTACTGGGGGGGAAAAAAATGAAAAACCAAAATTCATTGTCCCAGAAAATTCTAATATTACACAGACATACTTTTGATACATTTAGC